TTTGAGGTGTCATTTGAGGTGTTATTTGAGGTGTAATTTGAGGTATTTTTTGAGGTGTTTTTTGAGGTGTTATTGATCCACCCCACAGGCAGATAACAGTGAAAGCAGCACAGGCAATGGGGCAGGAACTTCCCAAATCCCCCAGAGAGCGGCTGTGGGGCTGGAGAGGCTTCCACCCACCCCAAATGGCCCCAAGCAGCCCCGGCCCCACGCCAGGCACCCAGGGGCTCCTCACCTTCATTCCTCTGGTTGTTGAGCTGGTTGAACTGCTCCGTGAACTCCGTCAGCGACTCCTCRATGGTCTCCGTGCGCGGCACCGACAGCGAAAACCTCCTCTTGAAGTTTTTCATCTTGTTCATTTTCCCTCGAGCTGCCAGGGAGGGCAGAGCCCTGTGGGGAAGGGGACAGCAGGGTCAGAGGGCTGGGAAACACAGGGACGGGCCCCAGATTCGCTGCTTTTTGGGGTTTACAGCATCCTGACCCACAATTGCTGTTTTTGGGGGTTGGCAGCATCCTGACCCAAATTTCTCCCCTACAGCTGCTGCTCTTTGGGGTTAGCAGCATCCTGACCTGCATTTCCACCCCACAATTGCTGCACTTTGGGGTTATCAGTATACCAACCCTACATCTGCTGCATCTGAATTTCCACCCTACATCTGCTGCTTTTTGCTGTTAGCAGCATCCCAATCCAAATTTTTACCCTATAGCTGCTGCTTTTTGGGGTTGGCAACATCCCGACCTGAATTTCCACCCTACAGCTGCTGCTTTTTGGGGTTGGGAGCATCCTCGACCTGAATTTCCACTCTACAGCTGCTGCACTTTGGGGTTAGCAGCATCCCGACCTGAATTTCCACCCTACAGCTGCTGCTTTTTGCTGTTAGCAGCATCCCAATCCAAATTTTTACCCTACAGCTGCTGATCTTTGGTGTTAGCAGCATCCTGACCCGAATTTCCACCCACAATTACTGTTTTTGGGGGTTAGCAAAAACTATTCCTGGCTTGAATTTTCACCCTGCCCCAGAAGATGCCCCGATCTCCCAGGGCAGAGGGGAGATCCCCCAGAGCTCCGGCCCCAGGCGATGCTCTGAGGTCCCAGTTCACTCTCAGCTCTCTCCCAGCTCGCCCCGGGCTCCTGTGACTCATCCTGCCGGGCAGCAGAATCGCCTTAACCGCAGATCTGATTAAAACAATAAAACCCTTAAAGGAGGAAAACCCTCGGGGGGCCCCGGGGCGAGCTGGGCTGGGGCTGAGTAGCCCCGGGAGCGGGAGGGGAGCTCGCCCCTGACCTGGCCTTGCCTTTTGGCTCTTGCCAGGSTCGGCAGAGTGGATGGATCAGGCTGGAATTCCCTGCGATTCCTCCTGCCCAGCMCGGGTCCAGCGCTCCCTGGACTTCCATCACGGAATTCCGGGATCCCAGCCCGGTTTGGGTTGGAAGGGATTTTAGGATTCATCCCAGAGACGCTTTCCCCGATCTCAGGGTGGTCCAAGCGCTGTCCAGCCTGGSYTTGGACACTTCCAGGGATGGGACATCAGTGTCCCACCCGTACCCAGCCACAGCTCTGCCCTTTCCAGGCTCAGATTTGAGGAGATGTGGCTCTGTCCCTCTCCCCTTCCCAATTCCAGGGGTGTAGGGACGCTCCTCCTTCATCCTTTACCCTCTGGGCATTCCAACCTGCCCGCCGGGGGATTTTCCATGAACTTTCACCCTGCTCTCACCTCCCAACACAATCTGAAGAAGAAAATCACCCCTCGGTACCAAACAGACCCCAAAAAACCACCCAGGGATGTTCTTCCCCACACGGAGCGGCTCCTTCCCCGCACATCCCGCACCCCTGGGGCAGCTCGGGTTCCTCCTCCTGGGTGTCCCCGCTCCAGCCCTTCCCYGTGCCCGCTCGGGGGTTTATCAGCMCATCCAGAGGGTGCTCGCATTCCAGAGCGATGCCATCAGACCCCGCATCCCGTCTCCAGGACAACGGCAGCGCTGGGGCGGGGCGGGCCCGCATCTGAGAGCTCSAAAGGATTATCCACAGTCAGCACTCGGAATGCTCCGCTTGGGCGCCCGCCAGGCGCTGCGGTGAGGCACGGAGCCCTGCAGGAGGGTGAATCCTCCGAAAATCCCGGGGATTCGCCTGAATCCCCGCAATTCCCACACCCCCGCTCCGTTCCCACCTTCGGCGCCGCAAAATCCCGGGGTTGAAGGCTCTCGGCCCCGCCTGGAATCGGGGCTGGGGGGGTTTGCTGGGGGTGGGAAGGGAGGCGGGAGGSTTTGAGGCAGCTCCGCTCCAGCATTCAGRCGCTGGAATGTTTTCCCAGCAGAACGGGAACGTGCTCGGGCACARCGAAGAGGGGGCACCGGGGATGCTCTGGGTTCCGAAAGTGATTTAGCGATGCTGGATGGATGAAAGGAGTGAATTCAGCCCCCGGTTCTGCACTGGGGACAAAATCCCAGCCTGGCAGGGACTGGAATGGGGTAATCAGGACAGCAAGGGGGAATTTGGGATCGCGGGAAGRCGCTCGGCTGAGCAATTCCTGCTCGGACAATCCTTTACCAAACTAATCCATAACCTCCGAATCTGGATCAGGAAAGATGCRGGGAACAGGAAAGGTGAAGGGAAAAATGAGGGGAATGGTCTCTCCATCTCCCTGCCCCTCCCCAAAAAACCGCGGGTGGTTTAGCGGGGAATCAGCACCGAACAGACAAAAAACCGCCCCACAAACCCAAATCCTTCCCCTCCCTTTGCTTCCCGCAGCAATGCCAGCAGCTCCAGGCTGCAAAATATAAACCTGGAACTGGGAAATGGGGTAAAAACAGCCCCGGGATCGCTGCTGCCCCTCCGGCCACGCCCGAGCTGCCCCTGCTCATGTTCCTCACATCCCTGGGCAGTTGGGGTTCTTTATTCCAGCTAAACCTGGACCTGTTTGGCACCTGGTGATGGGAATTCGCATTAAAGCCTTGGGCAGCTGGGATTTATGGGATTGTTCTTGTTCTCATCCCTGTGCTCCATCCTGAGAGGAATTCCCCCTGTCCCATATGGATACAGGAGTACCAAAGTGGAGATTTATGGGATTATCCTTGCCCTCATCCCTCTGCTCCATCCCGAGAGGAATTCCTCCTGTACCATGTGGATTCCAGTGTCCCAAAACTGGGATTTATGGGATTGTTCTTGTTCTCATCCCGCTGCTTCCTCTGAGAAGTATTCCTTGTGTCCCATATGGATACAGGTGTCCCAAAACTGGGATTTATGGGATTATTCTTGCCCTCATCCCTCTGCTCCATCACAAAGTGGGGATTTATGGGTTTGTTCTTGTCCACGTCTCCTCTGAGAGGAATTCACCCTGTCCCATATGGATACTGGTGTCCCAAAACTGGGATTTATGGGATTATTCTTGCCCTCATCCCTTTGCTTCATCCCAAAAGGAATTCCCCGTGTCCCATATGGATACCGGTGTCCCAAACCCTAACCTTAACCCCCAAAGTGGGGATTTATGGGATTGTTCTTGTCCACGTCTCCTCTSAGAGGAATTCCCCCTATCCTGTAGGAATACTGGTGTCCCWAAGYSRGGATTTGCTGCGTTCCTGRAAGCAAAACACCCCCAACCCGCATACCGGGGGGAGCTGTAGGGTCAGGCCGGGTCATTTGGGGTGCCCCACAGCACCTCGGGGTTCCCGGAGCTTCACGCACCCTTGAGAAAGAAATCCCTTTTTTTTCAGCTGCTCTCCCCCGGCACGGATTCCAAATGAAGAATTCCTAGCGACCGCCTCTTGGTTTATTTTTTTTTTGTTTTGTTTTTTTCAGTGTCCTGGATGAAGCGGTGGCATTTATTGACTTCCCGAGAGAAAGTGACACTTCTTAAGCAAAGCAATGACATCACCTTTTGTTTTCCAGCCCGGCAGGAACGGCAGTGATCTTTGGATGCTGCGGGCACGGGCGGGGAGCCGGATAATTAACAACACGCAGGAACACGGCCGGACGCGACGGGAAGGAGTTTCACACCGCAGCGAGGAATTCAGGCAAAAAAATTGGAATCGGGCCAAGGAACGGGGATTAAAGCCGGCAGGGCGAGCGATCTGATTTTGCTGTAACTGCGGCGGGGAGTAAAAACCCGGCTCAAACACTTCAAAGGGCCCCAGAGCTGAATCCCGTCAGGAAAACTGCGGGATCCGGACGAGGAGTTAACGATCCTTTAATCGCCCTCAGCATTCCCCGGGGAGCTGTTCCCGCAGGCATTCCGCCTGGGAATGAACCTCTCCCGCATTTCTGCAGCTCTGGAATTCCTGAGCCAGGTATTTGAGGCATCACCAGAGTGTGGGACCGTCCCCTCCCTCCTTCAGCGGGGTTTGGAAGCAAAGCTTCCCAACACTAATTAATGCCCTCACAAAAGATAAATTCTCCGGTTTTTTTCCCTTACCATTTCACCAGACTCCTACCCCCATTTCCCAGCCCAAAGAGGGAAAAGTTCGCTTCTTTTAAGCCTTTTTTTTTTTTTTTTTTTTTTTTTTTTTGAATCCCCGGAGAGATTACCGGCTGTGTTTACAAGGCGAACTGAACAGCGCTATTCAGCACTTGGTGCTCCTGGCTATTCGGCAGCATCGATTCGCTGCAGCGAGGACCGGAGAAACGGGGAATTCTGCTCCTCGTCGAGCCTTTATTTGCTCAGCAAACACGGCAATCCTGCGACGCTGCGTGTGGCTCCGGGGCTAAACAAACACCCAGCCTGCAATCCGTGCCCCTCCTCGCACGGAAAAGTTCAGAGATGGAGCCGGAGGCGGCGGAAACTCCCCAGCGCAGCCCCCGGGCCCGGCTGGTCCCTTTGGTTCTCCATCCCGAGGAGGAGCAGGGAAAAGCTGTCTGAGATGGGAGACATCCCCGCCCCTCCGTGCTGCACATTCCTGAGCGATCAGGGGCTCARCACAGCCCAAATTCCTCCCGCACTCCGGGTTTCCTTTGCGGGATCTCATTCAGGTCCCCAGAAATGTGTGGAAGGGGGTGGGGAGTGATTCCAGGCTGCTCTGGGGGGTCGGAGGGAAATTGCTCAAAATCACGTCAGGGGCGAGGCTGAATTCTCTGCGGCAGCTGGGAATTCTCCCGGGAAGGTCGGAGGGGCAGCCCCCGGGTAAATTCCTGCTGGGATAAATCCTCCCCGGGGTAACAAAGCCCCTCCCAGGAGGATGATGTGGATCGATCCCACTGAGGCTCATCCCGCTCAGGAAGAATTCCTGGAGCAGGAATTGCCCTCCCCGAAAGCTCTGAGTGATGAGGGGATGCAGCAAGGCCACCTCTCCCCGCTCCTCATTCTCCCGCCGCCCTCAGCACTCCCATTTCGGGTCCGACATTCCCCTCTCCCTGCCAGGAGSTCAAAATCCCGCAGGGGAGGCAGCGCCATCAATC